GCAATGGAGCTTAATTTTATTATCTTCTAGTTATGATCATTTCTCCACCCAACACCCGTTCAGTTCTTGCGCAGAACTGATCGGATGTTGGGTGGAGAAATGATCATAACTAGAAGATAATAAAATTAAGCTCCATTGCAAATTTTGAATAATTCTCGAAAGATTTTTCCGCAGAGCTGATCGGGTTCTGATGAGAACAGTGTAAGCGTTCAAGCAAACCACTTCTGAAGATGCCAGCCACTCGTGCTTGCGAAACGTCAAGAAGAAATCTTACCGAACGACGGCCTAAAAACCCATTAGTTTCAAAAGCGTTTTCAATTTCACTTTAAACATGCCTGGTCGAGTGAAAAGTGCTTCCCACGGGGAGTGAGAGGGTTTGGTAGAAAACGATGGCGCTAATGTGGGTCAATGATTATATAAAAACAGCACGGAAATGGCTCTTTGCGTGAGTATCGCTCGTTTAACAACAGCTCTGCTATAAGCTATAGATAAACATCCGGAGGACGTTGTTCTTGCGCAAGTAACATTTAAACAGTTAATAGAAACGTTTGTACAGACTGTATCTTTATAGAAGTTGAGTTTTTTTAAAGCCCTGTTCACTCCAATGGATTTATTTGGACTTTCTGGGATCTTTGCTTAAGAGCACTTGTAGTCCATGCTTCGTTATTTCGTTTCCTATTCTGGGAAAGTAGAAGCGGGGATCGTCGCGATCGATTGCCACCAGTGGGTCCGGCCACCACCCATAACTAAAATCTTACTCAAAACTGCGCCTCTTAAGCAAAAAAACCTACATTTGGTTCGACGTTTCGGGCCACTCGCGCTTCTCTCTTGCTACCATGTCTTTGGCGCGCATCAAGTTACTCAACAGCTGCCGATCGACTTCGCCTGCGTCCCCACACTCGTATTGCGAGTAGAACTTCGGGGTGATGGTGGTTTCTAGCAAACGGTCTTATTTGAAGCAAACGGACATTAACAGCACTTTGCTTACTGTTGTAGTTCGGGGTGTAGACATCGTAAACCGTAATGTATTTCACATCCTTTTCGTACCGCTCCCTTAAAAAAATATCGGGCAATTTAGCCATCGCAGGAATTTTTTCACTCTAACTAGCTGACAATGACGCTTTCCACCAGCCAGTTCGTTGTAGGCAAATAAAAGACGTTCTGTTCTGGAACTTACATATGTAGTTACCTAACACCGAACCTATTTAGACACCTTAATAACACCGTCCATGGACGCAGTCACTGTAAAGCACTGGTTGGCTTTACAGAGAATAATGTCCGAGATGCAGTCCTTGTGTCCGGCTGCAGGGGGCTCGGGCCCCGCTCGGGGCGACTCTTCCGGCACGTCCCTCAGGGGCACTTCTCTGGGGGGCACGTTGGAGGTTTCTTCGTAGATCACGTTTGAACCATCAATCAACCTAACAAGTTCCTTTGCTCTTAGAAAATCTTATTTATTTGCAAACTCTAAAGCCAAAGCTGGATAAAAAACACCTCACCTGCTACGGTACATTATAGTAGTAGTAGGAGCATCGCAGGCGGCCGGCAGAACTAAATAACTCTCAGAAGGACTTTCCAGGTTCCAAAAGCGTAGCCTTTGATCCGTTCCGCCGGACAGCAAAAAGGGCGACCCATCGACACAGCCCGCTTGAATAGCGCAAATGCTATGGTTTGCGTTCTGATTGCCCTAAAGTTGGCCAATAAACTACAGAAAACCCCAGAGAAACCTGCTTACTTGGTTCAATTTGGAAAGAGGCGGCGTGGTGCTGCCCCATAAAACCGTCTGCCTCGAGGCGCTTTCCAGGTTCCACATGGAAATTTCATTGTTTCCCTGCACGCTGGAAATCAGCCATGAATGCTCGGTGGGGTGCGGGATCACCTTCCTGATGCGCACCGCTTGGCCACCTAAACACAATTTTCCCATTAAAACCAGTCAACTAAACTCATCCACCAGCACTCACTGAAGGGCATAGTGAACGTAGTGCTGGGTAGTCGAAACCGCAGATCCCACAAAGTGTGGACACCATCACTAGTGCCTAACGCCAGCCAACTATCGTGCTGATTGATGCAGAACGTGGTGATAACTCCTTGTCTGACGCCGTTTGGCAGCCTCCAAGCCAGATCGGGCTGCCGCAGGTCCCAAGCCACTGCAACCCATCAAGTCAGTACGCAACATCGGCGAAAAACTAGCAATTTACCCAAATCCCCATACAGTGTGGCGTAGACCACAATGCTCTGAGTTCCAGGGTCCAAACAGTGCAGATCCACCGCCAAACCATCCTCAAAGGGATCCAAGTGCCGCGACTGAATAACGTTCATTCTAAAAGCCCAAACTGGTTTAGCAAAATCCTCAAGCCCCTTCAAAGCACCTACTTGGAGCTAGCAGGATCCACTCTTAAAATCCCAACCCATCCATTCTGGCAGGAGGCGGCCAGTGATTGGCCGTTGTCGCAAACATCCATTCCCGTAATCGGGCAGGAATTTGGAAACCTGAACTGCTGCTTCGATCTGTTGGCAAAGCTGCCGGACTCAAAGGTGGAACAATCCCACAACCTGCAAAATGTGTACGTAGAAGGACTAACAGACGCCGCAATGGTTGCTAAACCTGATCGTCCCATCGGTTGAACTGCTGGCAAAGTAGGGGGAGTCTGGAAAGGCGCGTAGCGTATTAACAGCGCTCTTATGCTCGTGCAAATGGGCCACCAGAACGCCTTTCGGGTGCCATCCAGGCGGCGGCAGTTGGGGCTTCCACGTTGCGCTGTCGTGCTCAGCTGGACGCAATCTGCACAAACAAACCCGAACAGCTTTTGCGCCAAATTGAGACACCACCCGCTTACTTTAGCGCCTCATAATACTGCTCCAGCTGCATATTCTTCAGCTTGTTGAGTTCCACGTAGCACGTAGATCGCCTATCTAAAATGTTACCGGTCATTTGCAGCTGGAAAATCAACCCAGTGGCTTACATTGAATGAAACTTTTCTCGTGCAGACTGGAGGCTTCAGTGGTAGTGCTGATGAACTGAGTCATGTGCACATCAGGCGGGGGCGACGATGGGCGACTGTTGGTCGAGCGAGACGACTGTCCTCCGCTATTCGTCGACTCCGATTGGCGCGTCAACAGCTCAGAGCTGCAGTTCCAATCCGAATGAATGTTCGTATCGATCGAACCCAGCGTGTTTGTTCTATGCAATCCGCTCCTGAAAGTCATTCAAAGATAAAAACCTTTCAAGTCGGTTTCAAATCAATACCTGATGTATTCGATCTTGTGATGGTCACTGAAATGAAACTCCTTCCGCTTGATAATGCTGGTAAAGCCATCAAGATCAATTTGCCCATCGCTGTGGATGCGAGGCTCCGCAGTCAGTTTCGGCTTGTTGATCTTCTTCAGGTGGTTCCCCATTTTCAAAATATGATCCTCCACTTGTTCACTGAGCTCATTGGACTCAAACCGTGCGAAAAACTGCAAAACCCCCCGATCAACTGGGTTTCACTAACACGCCTTTTAGACCCACCGTTTTCGAACTGGAGTCCAGCTTTCTATGGGGATCGTAATTCATAATGGTGCTTCGTCTAGTGAAGTTCCTTGAAAGCTTCCGTTCCTCCAAAACGCTCAATAGCTGATCGATGTCTTTGTAGTTGACCAACTGATCGTAAACAGCTCTAGGGATGGGCGGAAGCAGAGCATCCATTAAAATCTCGGGTCTAAAAAAGCCAATTCAATTTCCATCGCGGTTTCAAGGGTGAAACCCCCATTCACTCACTTATCAATTTGCATTAATTTGTACTGCAAGTAAGGCAACAAGTGCGGCATGATCTTGCACTGGACGTCCAAAATGCTGAGCCTCTGGCCTGCCTTGGCAATGAAGCCACATAGAGCCTCTCTAATCCACAGATTGGGATGCACCAGAAAGGTGCAGCTTTCCGTTATGAGCTCACACAGAGAGGGAGTAGTTAGCAGATTGAGTTCGGCTAAAGCGGCCATGGCTAAAATCGCCTTTCTAGTCACAAACTCCGAACTATCAGTCAGGCCCTGGATAAACCAAATGTAACTAATAAATCGCCTAGTGGAAAGCCAACGAATCACCTGCAAGAGCAATGGAGTTATCATGCTGGAGCAGTGCCAGCCGATGTAGGAAGTCACTCCGACAATGCAGTCGAAAAAGGACTTTCTAAGCTCTGTGTCCTCTTTGTCGTCCAGAAACGTTATCATGTGCGAAAAAATAACGTCACTAGCTAAAAATGAAAAATTAGCCTCGGGGACGATTGCACAGATTGGCTGTTTGCACCTTTAGCCTTCCCGAAGAACACACACAGCTTGTTAATGCCATTATTGACCAAAGCCTGTTTCACTATGCTGTGCGAATCCGTCAGCAAAGCGCTCACTGTTTGCTGCACCATTTCATGCAACGCCTGAAGCTCCTGCTCATAGTTAAACGGGTGCTTTTCATCGGTTTTGTTTGAGCTTTCATCTCCGTACCAAATATTTTGGATCTGGTCCAGGTATCTAAATCACTTGATTGAACAGTCTGCATTAACGTCGCTGCTCAGTTACCTTAAAGAAATCTCTGCCAAAGTGTTAATGTTCTTGGCGCAAGCCGCTCTAACGCACGCATTAGGATCCGTAGCCAATTGAGCAAGCTCAGGCAGAATGTATTCAGGAAATATATTGGCGTCCGATTTCGGCAGCTTTTGCACCAAGTTCAGGCACTTGGTTATGGTGTTTATTGCAAATATTTTCACTCGGGAGTTGCTGTCGTGGGCCAGAAACACCTAAAACGGCACCAACGCCCGTTGATTTACCCATAGGTGTAATAAGATGCAATCGTTACCAGACAAGGCAGGATTCTATCGAGAATAGTTTCATCGCTGGCATGGAATGCCAGCTCGAGCAATATTTCCAAGCCGAACAACTTGGACGAGCATTCATGCAAGCCCCTAATGCAGGATGTTACCAGAGACGTGATAATCACCAAGCCCTCACATTCGCCTCGTTGCTCGCTCTGATCGTCACTTTCCGATTCCTCCTCTGATTCCTCATCCTCTGGCTCTTCAATAGGGGATGTTTTAACGGGGCCTAGAAACTAAGTACAGGCTTGCCATAAAAAGCCCGATAAAAGGACTAGTTTTACCTTGAAAATATTGGCAATGTCGCTTTTCAATCGGGCTACTTTCTCGTCCGGGGACATAATCGGGTTGGACGAGAAAATCAGCATATACGACTGAAGGAAGCTGTAGAAATATTCAGGGAACAGCGTGCCGCGCTGCTGGTCCAGGTACTTTTCCGCTGAAAGCCGCGTTGCTGGGTCCTAAATAGCCGCGAGCCCAACATTTCAGATTGTCTGCATAGATTTCCACTCACTCGATTAATCATGCTCGATATCAGGCTTCTTAAGTTGGGGTCTTCCAGTTTTTCCAGGTGCTTTTCAGGTGAGTACTTGCCAGCCCGATAAGCTAGCAGTTGGGAATAGTCAAAGGGCACCTGAAGTTCGTTCCAGAGCTCCAGCAAAGCACATCTAGCAAAGAAAGCAGACGTAGTGATTACAACTTGAAAGGTTCAAGGGAAACTACCCTGCAGAAAATATATCCATTGCAGGCGTGAGTTCGCTGGAATCGTAAATCACTTCAGGAATCAGAGCGGTGGTATCGTTGCTGCTCAAGTTGGTGGAAGTTGAGAATCTTTCAGGGGCAATGTAGCAGGTTCGGCGCCTCGACGTGTCAAAGAAGTAGGAATAATGCCCTGCAAATTGTCCCTGCTGAATGGCGGATGCGATCCTGATTCTTCACTTACCAGGGTTGTCAATGGGCAAAAATGTGGGCTTAAATGAGGCAAAATCCACCAGCATCACCCAATTCCAGGAGGTCACTGTGATGTTCTCCAACTTAATATCCCCGTGGCACACGCCCACTTTATGGCACTGATGCAGAGCATAGAGGATTTGGAAAGTTATCCACCTAAAACCGCCCTAAAGCCTTACCCAGCCCGATTTCCAGTACCGACCTACCTTTTCTCAATGTCAGTTAAAAAGGGGCGAGTGCTGATACGATCGTACAAGCTGTACTTCACATATTCCCGCACAATCAGCGCCGCTTTTTCCGAAATGATAAACTTTTGGTACGGAGTGCAGTTGACCGCGGTGGACAGTTTTTTGCGGATCTCCTCTAGGCGCTCTTGATATCGATGCAAGGGGAGGGTCAAATCGCGAATTGCAAACACTTTAACCACCACATGCCCCTCTTGAGTCTCAGCTTTGGCCACCTTTAGAAATCGGGTACTGCCCAAACTACGAAACAAAAAGGGTTTGAATATACTGACGGCGAACAAGTGCTTAGCCCAGGAATCAGGATTTGGAGGAAACGTGTCTTTGTTACTGACCTAAGCTCAAATTTCAAGTCATTGTGGTCCTTTAGATACCATTCCACTGGAAAGATTTGCGAAGTCGCAATGCAAACTAGTTGATTGCCCATTGTGTTAACTGCAGCATTAAATCACAGACTTTTCCAGCAAAAAGTGAACGTATTTGTTAGTTTGTTATTAATTAGACTGTTATTGTTTATGTGTCAAACTGATTGCTGAAGAGTGAAGTCCCCATAAACAATGTCAACCTGATGTCAACATCTAGGGGAATTAGCGTAACCAATCGCTCAGATCAGCGGAAAATGTAGAGGGACTGGCATTGTTCTATTGGCAGCAGTGTTCCCCAGACGTGCACCGAAGAGGAAATGTCGTCACCTCTTTACACATGTGTAGATTTTTCCTCAAATAAAATGAAACAAATTGCAAAAACCGCTTAATCGCTTGCAATTCTCGAGACATTGATTGGACTGATTCGATCGTGTGTGTTTTCCGTTCGGTCCAATGGAGTGCCCGATGTGAAACCCCCGAGGAAAAACGTCAACACCCTGCTGAAGAACTAAAGTGTTGCTCATCGATTTTGTTGATTCATTCCTTGCGAAAATGTGCCTCCAACCGGATACTGGCTGCAAAGTCCACTTAAATGCTTCTTTGTAAATCCGAGTAAGTAGCAACGTGCCTCACTGGCATTGGGCCAACATTTTGAAGGCCTTTGCCAAACACCTGCAATGCTATTCGATTACAATTGCTTTTAGTAGTACTGGCTGCTCCAGCCAGCTCCGATCACTGCTCTTTCATGCAGCAGTTGCTGGACTGTACATAGCTGAGTTGTTGGCTTGTTGCTGAACAGCCCCTGTGGGATCAGCTGGGTGTTTAGCTTTAGAGCTGCCCTCATGCACAAGCTGGGTTTTCAACGGTTTTCAATTCAGCAAGTTTCAAAGCTTCACTTCTAAAGCTCGTGGGTTTGTTTATTTACACACACACCTCGTTAAGTAGCTGTTGTTATCACTAAGCCAGGTGATAATTGCCCTCATTTATCGCACTAATCGAAGCTGATGATGAGCCAGGCCTGCCTTGGATTGATTTTATGTTCATTACGTTCCAAACTAGTCTTCGCTTCTTCAGAGCTTAAAGTGCGTCCAGACTTGACGAGCCGAGCCCGAGCAACGGCACAATTCCTATGAAGTTTTAGTCTGGCCTGGACGCGTTTTTAGAGATGTGAAACTGTTCACTTCCAACAGTATATTTAGAAGAAAAGCGAACTTTTTCACTATATTTATACGTCACTATCTGCTTAATGTTTCCATGTAGCCTATTTTTCAGATAGCACTTTTGCAGGAAAATTGCTGAAACTATTCGCAGCTAATTTGAACTTCCACGAAAACTGGAATGCGTGATCAAGGAAAACTCATAAAAATGCATTCTGCGCGAAGTTTCCCAGCTTGTGGGGTGCTTATACAAAACTGCCCACCGGGTGAAGCTTTGCCAGTTTTAATATTCCTAGAATCTTCATTCAAAYCCAACTAAAACTAAGTTTAAAACCCATTGCTGCGCTTTCGAACGAAAACTTTCAGAAATTCGTAACAGAAATTATGTTCTTAATAACCGCGGCCGGTTCGGCGAAGAATACAGCCGGGGCAGAATATGCGATGCATTAAACAATAATAAAAGAAGTTGGTTGAACAACTAGGAAAAATAATAATGGTAATGCGACCGTCATCATGGATTATAATATCTATGATCAA